GAATGTTATCGATCCACCTTAATGCATTTGAGCTTGCCAACCAGATTTCTTCGCGATAGTGTCGGAATAATGGTTCTGTTAAGGCATACCCTGCATCAATAACTTTCTTTCGAAGTGTCTTGTCTTTGATATGGAGCATGAAGTTTTGTGTGATGTGTCTAATGCCATAGACATGTGTTGAATGGGGATCCTGTCAACCGTTATCAGGGTTATTGTATGCACTCACAATCAATGGATGCTTGTCTAAAATCAAATAAAGGTTAGATTGAGGAGCAACGTGTAATCGGAGATTCTTCAGAAAGAAATTCCATGCACCACCTGTCTCACCTTTAACTAGAGAGAAGGCAATCGGAAAAACATTATTGTTCCCATCTTGTGCACTGCCATGAGTAATGTTCCTTTATACTTCCCGTATAACGAAGTTCCATCAATCTGTATAATAGGTTTGCAAAATGCAAAACCCTTGATGCATGGTTCAAACGCCCAGAATAATCGATGAAATAGTCCATTTCCACTAACACGAGTTCTGTCTGGGGTAAATGCCAGGAGTGTATCCAAAATTATAACAGTTCCCGGAGCATAATATTTGAGTGCCACCAAAAATCTTGGAAGTTCTTTGTATGATTCCTCCCAATTACCGTACACAAGTTCAAATGCCTTAGTCATCCCGATCCATGCCTTCCTGTAAGAGGGAGTATAATTGAATCTTGTAACAATATGAGAAATAATTGTACTCACCTTTAATGATGGATCCTTGCTAATAAGAGGCAAGATTTCTTGACATATTAGTTGAGAACTAAGTTTCCGATGATCCTGCGTTGGAACGGTGGTGATGCAAGTGTGGAGTGGATCAATGGAACCTATTTCTCGTGAATCACTTCTCTTCCTGTAAGATGCAGTTAACTGAAAAGGGCAAATTGATTTTTGACGACATAAAATAACGTACCTCGCTGAATTATTTTTATCTACAGTGAAGTCAGCTAAAATTTCTCTGTGATATTTTTTGATAGCTCTAAGACACTCTTCTTTTGTTCGAAGTTTGTCTCCAACTTTCAAGGCCCCTTCGGTCTGCATATAAGGACTGTGAAAGATATCTGAGGTCGGTTCATCTTCCCCCAAGTTCAAGTTCGTCATGTGAAACAGAGGGTCGTACGCATGACTCGTAGGTACAGGTTCATGCTCTTGATCTGCAGCATCATCATTGACCATAAAATCAATCATTGCCTCATCATCTTCTTCTTCTTTTTGCATGCATACGCCACATAGGGTGGCTTATCATTGAACAACAAAATTGCATGCATGTCATCTGACCCCTGCCACGCTGCAGGTTTGCATGCATGCAAAAAGTAACAAGCCATGTTGAATGGAGCCTATGTGTATCAAAGAGAGCATGTTCCACCTAGTATGGTGTCTGTGTGTATTAAACAAGAGCATGCGCCACCTAGGATGACGCCTATGTGTATCTCTTGCATGCAAATTATTGTCACGTGAATGCATAGTGTTCTTCAAGATTTTCCTATAAATACATGTAACATTCACCCTATATGTTCATCACAATCATAACGCACACACTATTTCTTTCTTGAAACATCAACAACAACACAAGAGTAATCAATAAAAATGTCTCTCTTGACCATGAATGATCAACATAAAGGAACTCTTAACAACATTGAAACCTTTATAAGTGTATTTTCCTCAATACTTATTTTTTGTCGACAAATTTTATTTCTGTAATTCTTATGATTGTTATACGTAAATCTTGTATTTCTTATATGTAATTTATGTTTTTAATAGGATGTTAAAATATTTTGTTGTCGTGTCCATGAGTATGTTCCTTACGACGTTCAAATTGAACCGTACTTACGACATACCGATTTTGGTCCGTTACTCAATGTAGTCAATCACCATGTTAACTATAAAATTATTCCCGCATTAGTGGAGAGATGGAGACCCGAAACTCACACCTTTCATCTTCCATGTGGTGAATGTATAGTCACACTAGAGGACGTGTACATATTATTCAGTCTACCAATCGATGGTAAGGTTGTCAATAGCTGAGTCAACCAAGACAACGCCATATGCGAGGAACTTTTAGGAGTCTCTTTATTTGAACAATGGTCTAGAGGCCAAGGTATTAATCTCCGTCTTCTTAGAGAATTTCATAGTAGTCTCGTAATAACCGAAAACTCTACCGAGCAAGAAAAAATTGTGAAAGCTCGGTGTTACATAATGATATTATTTGGCCATTTTTTATTTCCTGAAACAACAGGTAATACTGTTAATATCATGCATTTTTGTTAAGACAATTTAATAAAATAAACACATATAGTTGGGGCTCTGCTGTTTTGGCCCATCTGTATAGTTCCTTGTGTAAAAATGCATCGAACGGTAGCTGTTCTTTCTATTTCCATGCCTTTTTGCTCCAGACATGATGCTGGTCGAGAATGCCGACACTCGCCCCCCGCAATACAAGGTCATTCGTCTTCCTCTTTGCTACAAAGTAAGATTACAAAACCATAAATTTTACATACTTTATACTGTAACCAACATGTATTAATTTATTACCCTTTTTTATGTAGGTGGTATGTTCCTGGGATGAATTACAGCAAATCCTCTAGAAACGCAATAGTAGTCTACCAAAATCTTATTGATCATGTTAGACCCGAAGAGGTATTAAACTTACATATTTTATACAACGCTTTCAATAGGTTAATTAAGTTTAATATTTTATATAACTTTTTTTCCTCTACAGTTTGTATGGAGGCCGTATAAGGATCTCGACCATGAGATTAACCCAGTTGATGCTGAAGTCTGGACTGCAAAAACAACACTCATCGGGTTCACTACTGTGGAGATGCACCACAGTGATCGTGTGAAGCTACAGTTCGGCATGCAATAGGGTATCTCCGACCCCCCTACATGTTTGGGATAATGGCATCTACTCAGAGTTGACGATCAATGGGGATTTAATAATTTGAGAGACTTCACTAAAAATCAATATCGTTAATGGAGGCATAGACGCGAATTGGTCATAAGGGAGCCGATCTTGCAAGATGACTTAAAACCGACACTCCAATATTTGAGATGGTACACATCGGTTTCAACAAATTTGTATTTATCTCAAGAGACATATTTGATCGATCCATGCCAAAGAGTTGCAACATACGTCCAACAACAACCCCAACAACCAACCCCTCAACAATACCAAACCCAACAACCAACCCCTCAACAGTATCAAACTCAACCACAATGTCAACCCACTCAAACCCAACAATCATACACCACCACATTCAACCAAACTCGTCATCAATTCATGCCACACACACAAACACAATACCAAGAGCATAACCTGACCCACCACCAACAGTATGCACCATCATCATCCTACCACAACACCCAAGACACATATGATACATCTCTTTCCTACCATACCACTTAACCTACATACAGTCAAACATCACATCATTGAAATACCCAACCATCATACGAATTTCATACACCACAAGAATCGTTGCTTCGTTTCCATCACGATTCAACATCCCAATACTATCAACCACCCCACTCACACATATCAACCAACAAGATCAACCTTCAATAACATGGGCACAGATCTCTTTGGAAGCACAACACAATGAGGTGAAATAATCGATGATGTATGATTCTGATGTACCAGGACCATCACATCAAGCACCTCATAATTAAGCGAGTCAGAACAAACCCCAAACACCTCAGAAAAATCAATAGAGGAGTGAGACAAGGGGTGGGGCAAGACGGGACTGCATTGTGTAATATAAAATATTAATATAAAATATTTTTAGTTACTTTTATTTTTATTTAAAAAAATTAATAAATAACAATGTCAAGTCAAAGAAGATGACGCCTCCTCTCTGTCAATACATGCATGCGCCACACTGCATGACTTTATAGAGGAGGACAATTCATGCATTGTGACGCCTTCTCTCTAAAAAGCATGCATGCGCCACACAGAGTGACTACTCCTCTATGTGGCATTTTTTTTTTGTTTAAAAAGTGATTAGTTTGACAAAAAATTTAAAAATGTGGTTATTTGAGAATTTTTTTTGAAAAATGTGATTATTTATAAAAAAATCCGATTAATGTTCATTACAAGTAGTTATCAAAGATTGAAAAAGAAAGAAGAAAATGAATAAATAAATGATGCATTTACTGCATTAATTTATAAAGATATCTTTAGTAGTAGTGGTAATACAATCCAAGCAGATCGTAGCTTTGATTGCTCATATGGATCAGAGAGCAGCATTCAAACGCCATTAACGGATCCATTTCATGTGCCAAGTTGCCAATTAAATCCACCATAAACTTGTCACCAAAATCAATTATGTTCTGCTGTGTGTTATTACTACCTCTTTGAAGTTTTTAGATATTTCAAATTTGAAGTGGAACAATCACAATACCATTTCCTCTGCATAATAGCCAACCTTAAATTCATTTTCTATGCACTTGACATCCTCAATGACGTTTTTTATCTAAAATAAATACAATTAATAATAAGAAGCAAAAGAAAGTTTGAAGAACATATTACTGTATTAGCATAATATAAATCGAATTCAAACTATCCCATTTGGATTATGGCTATAGAAGTCACACACTTGCTAACAGTTTCACAAGATTTTCCACATCATAATTCATCACAAGAATCTCATCAAGCCTTTCTTTAGCTAGATTCAACTTAGTAATGAAGTTCCTCTTGGCATCACTCCCCTGTCAGACAACTTTAAATATACAATGCTTGTGGTTGTAACTTGTAACTCCACAATTATACCCCAAAATAAGCTAAAAACCGTGAAACTAAAACTAAAACGAAACTGAAACGAAATGTACATGACATCATTGTAACTTAATGTTCATTTTGATTTCTATGCCATTAGTGTTAGCAGTATACTCTATTCAAAATTACCTAGGTTCATGAAAGACCATGCATATGTTGACACCTTCAAGAGCCTGCATAGCAGTGCATAATTTCAGCCTGCATCAAACATCTGATCATGAATTAAGCAGACTGTCATGCCAAAATCAGTATCAAATATAATACAAAGACAAAATCACAACATTCACACAAAAATTCTAGAATTTTAACAACAAAATCACAAAAACAAAACAATGGTAGCATTCACATTTGAGTTGAGGCCAATTTACTATGTAACTTGGCTCAAAGATTGCAGACTGAGGTTCACAGGGTTGTTGGTCTGGTTGGAGAAAATGACAATTCGATGTTCACTGGTGTCAATAACAATAGCTTGTGACATACGATCACCGTGATAAGTGACTTCTTTCAGACGTGAATCAGAATCACAATCTAACCACCTCCAATTGATGAAAACAATTAAATGTAACAGATAAAAGACAATATTGATTTCTAGAAAAATTCAAAGGTGAACGAAGCTGGACGTAGACAAAAGATCATATGACACTCAACTGGATCTAAGCTGGATGAAAACAAAAGATCATATAAGACACGAGCCTCCGCGAGATGAGACTCCACTTTTGAAATTGCAACTCTGCCATATAGCTTATTGTCTGAAACATTAAGAAATATATTACATTATACAATATAAAAAATCAACAAAACTGAGAAAGAAAGAATATTAAACCACTCCATATGAAATTGTCACCCTATCCTATAATATCTCTAGAGAATCATCACTTATTAACAATAAGTAAGATACTTGCTAATAAGTAGACTTAAAAAACAAACATTATGGACAAGAGAATTGGTCATATGTTATTAGTCACGGTAAATAGATTCTAGTCAGGAAGTTGAACAAGCATAATATCAAAACCCTAAAGATTTTTTTCCGTTATTTCAACACTTAACTTCAAGAAGTAATGAAACTATTCCTAATTCAAAACAAGAACTACTACTTTAGGGAGACATTTGCACACATACAATAACCATTGATATTATTTCGATGTCACGGTGCAAGATTTGTATTATTTCGAACCACGCGAACCATTGATAGCTTTCAAATTATAGGGGTATACTTGCTTTGGCTAACCATTTCTGCCACTAATAGTAGTCACAATAATATGTCCAGTCTTCGTTCCATTGCCGCTGTCAACAACAGTAGCTTCCATTTTCTACGACAGAATAAAGTTGTAAGCAACACACAATAAAATTGTGTTCAGAATGAACAAAATGAACACCATACCTTATCATCCATAATTTTCATATTATTCATTTCCTCTGGCAATACTTCAACACCAATTTCACCATGAGAACTGGTTTCTCTAAACCCCAAAGTTGGTGCCACGCCAACCGACGCCATCTCAACTGAAACCGTTTCGATTGTAACTACTCAAATACTAATCAACTATCTGCTAGAATAAACAAACCCATCACACTCAAAAATGTTTCTTGATTAGAAAAATGAAAACCATATCAATAACAAAACCAACCAACACGAATTATAAGCAATAAAAAATCAACAAATTCCATGGTGGCACCACAAAATGAAACGATAAACACATCTTCGAAATGAAAAAATGACGAAAAAAGAAAAACCCTAAACTGAAGATCGTTATAATCGAACCAATCTAAATTTACAAAAAAAAAATTAACCAACAGATAGAGTTAGACATTCTTTATTTTCACCATAAAGATTTCACCAAAGAGATGAAATCGATTCAGTCTACCGCGCATCTTCCCCCTTCCGCGATTCAGTTTTTTTCATCCAACCTGAAACAATAAACACTAAATCAGCATAAATCATGAAAAGTATATGAAACCCTAAAATCACAATCCAACTTATTTACACACCGTTAACCGATTCGTACACCATTATTATTTCGGTGTGATATGAATATACCAAAAAAGGGAGAAGAGGATGATGATGATATTGTTACAGATTGAAGGTTGAGGCAGAGGAAGAAGAAGAAGAAGAAGAAGAGGGAGAAGGTTGACGAAGAGGAAGAATAAGGACCTTCGGTCCACTATCCACATAGAGAACGAAAAAAAGTGAGAGAGAAAGAAAAAGGACGATAGAGATAGAAAATGGAGATTCAGAATTTTTTAAAATTTGAATTAAAGTAACATTGAAGAAAAAATAGTAATATACAATTTAAATTGGATCAAGTTACATTATCAATTCATTTCAATTTAATGATCAAAGGCAAAAAAACACTAACTATGTAATTGAAATAGAATTATATGATATTATTAGTTGGTACTTTTAAAAATTGAGTTAGAATAAATCCAACTTTTTCTTCACTAACTTCTAAGATTAGCTTACCTTTCTTTACATCTATGGTGACTTCAGCGGTGGTCAAAAAAGGGTCTTTCTAAAATGATAGGGATGTTGGAATCCTCCTTTATGTACATTATCACTGTAGGTGTTTAAGTATTGACTTGCATTTTTGGTAAATCCCAAGTGTATGTGTGAATGTCATGACTGATGTCATAACATTCTAGTTCAGTTTGTACTGACTCATTAGGTACCTTTGCAGAAAAATATTGTAATTCAAATACTGATGTTTATAAGTGTGTATCTGAGCATTTTGCAAAATGATCACATTTTGCTAAATCAGTAGACAGGTTTTCTCAGATGTCATAACAGATGTTATGACATCCTGTTCTGAACTAACAGGATTGCAGGATTGGATAAGTCTGAGTTTTTTCAGGAAATAACTCAGTCCTTCCTGAACAGAATCCTGCGTTTTCTGAGGGGTAACCTAGCTCAACCCTTTCTGGTTAATAAAGTCCTGTGACCTGGTCTTTAGGTCAAACGGAATTAACCCTAGGTTTTTGGAAACCCTAACTGAAGTTGCAGCTGCTATATATTCAACAGAGCTGCTGTTTTTCAAGGATCCCTGCTGATTGATCAGAAGATCATTTTGTAATCTGTATAGATTTGATTATTGTACTCCAAGCAATTATCATTGTGATAAGTGCTTTGGAATAGGTTTCAAATTGTAAGGGGTTGTGTAGCACTCAAAGCTTTGAAGCAAGAGTGTTTGAATGTTCCTTGACTAAAGCTGTGAAGCAGAGTCAAGTTAGTTGTGTGCATCACTCAAAGCTGTGAAGCAAGAGTGATTGTGTTGCTTGATTAAAAAGCTGTGAAGCTTAATCAAGTGTTTGTTTTTGAAGAGTGTCTTCATCAATTATTATGTCAAATTAGTTTATGTATCACTGCTGTGATTGAGGGGGAGTGAGTTGGTACTCAGGTTTAAGTTGTACTTAGATTGGAATTGCATTGGGTAGGTCTTAAGTGAAGGAGATAAACTGGTTGGTTTATTCCTGAATTAACATCTCTTATAGTGGATTCTCTCCCTGGCTTGGTAGCCCCCAGAGTAGGTGTTGTTGCACACTGAACTGGGTAAACAATTGACTGTGTTCTTTATTGCTTTTGTATTTACTGTCAGATACGGTGTCATAACATTGAACGTGACATTGAGTATCTGCAGCCAGAATTTCAATTGGCATCAGAGCAGGCACCCTGCCTGTATTACTGGGTGAGATCTAGGGATATCACTTTCTGGCACTATGGACAAAGAAGGAGTTTTTGGAAATAGACCACCCATTCTGGATGGAACTAATTATGACTACTGGAAACCTCGTATGATTGCCTTCCTAAAATCTCTGGACAAAAAGGCTTGGAGAGCTGCTGACAAAGGATGGATTCATCCCACCATAATTGAGATAGATGGGACAATCAGTCTGAAGCCTGAGGAAGATTGGAGTAAAGAAGAAGATGAGTTAGCTCTGGGAAATTCAAAAGCTTTAAATGCCTTGTTCAATGGAATTGATAGAAACATCTTCAGACTAGTACATCAATATGAACTGGCCAAGGAAGTTTGGGACACTCTCAAAACTACTCATGAGGGAACTTCCAAAGTAAAAATGTCAAGGCTTCAGATGTTGACCACCAAATTTGAGAATCTAAAAATGATGGAAGATGAAACCATTCATGAGTTTCACATGAACATCTTGGAGATTGCCAACACCTCAGGAGCACTGGGAGAAAAAATGTCAGAAGAAAAACTGGTGAGGAAGATTCTCAGATCCTTGCCTAAAAGATTTGCAATGAAGGTAACTGCCATAGAGGAAGCCCAGGACATTAGCAAGTTGAAAGTAGATGAACTTATTGGGTCTCTTCAGACTTTTGAGATGGGGATCACTGATAATGGTGACAAGAAGAACAAAAGCATAGCACTTGTATCCAACATTGATGTTGAACACAAGGAGGATGAAGAAGAAAACATATCTGAAGCTATTGCCATGCTTGGAAGACAATTCAACAGGCTCATCAAAAGAATGGACCCAAAGTCAAGGTCTAATGTTCATAACATTCCCTCTGACATTGACAGTTCCAGCAGAAGACCAAGGTCAGAAGATAAGGGAAACCAAGGCAGAGGTATTCAATGCCATGGATGTGAAGGATATGGACATATTCGAGCTGAATGTCCTACCTTTCTTAAGAAGCAAAAGAAAGGAATGACTGTTACTTGGTCTGACTATGATTCAGAAAGTAATTCTGAAGAAGAATCTGCCAAACTAGTTACTGCCCTAACTAGTGTTTGTACTTCTGAAAGTGACACTAGTGATGAAGAAGTGTCATTTGAAGAACTGGCTGATACCTACAAGAAATTGTGTATCAGAAGTGCTGAAGTCTGTGTGCAGAATGAGAAATAATCAAAACTCATTATCAAACTGGAGGCTGAAAAAAGGGCGAATCTTGAAACTATAAGTCATCTAGAAGGAGAAGTTCAATTGTTGAACTCACAACTGAATCAAATGACCAAATTTGTCAAGATGTTGACCAATGGAACAGACAAATTGGAAGAGATCCTTCAGGCTGGACAAAATATGGTAAATAAATCTGGACTAGGATTTATGGAAGCAAAGAAATCTGGTACTGGTAAGCAAATGTCAAAACGGATGTCTCAACACAACTCTCAACATCAGGGACAGAGACATATGAAGAAGAGGTACCAAAGATGGAAATGTCATCATTGTGGGAGATATGGTCACATAAAGCCCTTCTGCTTCAGACTACATGGATATCCTAATCAGAACTCAGGTGTCAAACCTAAGTCTAAAAAGGTACTTCATGTTCCTAAATGGAAGAAAAAGGCTGTTGCACTGATAGTTCACACTTCCCTGAGGGTCTCTGCAAAGGAAGATTGGTACTTTGACAGTGGATGTTCCAGACACATGACTGGATTCAAAAATCTCCTCAATAATGTTATGCCTCACACCACCAGTTTTGTGACCTTTGGAGATGGTACTAAAGGTGAAGTCAAAGGAGTTGGTAATTTGGAATGCCCTGGAGTTCCAAGTTTGAATAAAGTACTGCTGGTGAAAGGGTTGACTGCTAATCTCATTAGTATCAGTCAATTATGTGATCTAGGATTCAAGGTCAACTTCTCAAGATCTGAATGTCTAGTAATTAATAAAAAACTAGAAGTTGTAATGAGAGGAATCAAATCCAAAGATAACTGTTACGTGTGGCAGCCTGAGAACACTGTTATCTCCACTGTGTGTCAAATCATCAAAGAAGAAAAAGAGATGAAACTGTGGCAGCATAAGCTTGGTCTCCTTCATCTAGGAAGAATGAAAAGAGCTATTTCTATGGAAGCTGTCAGAAGAACTCCAAAACTACAGATTGATAATATCTGTGATGTGGCAAATAAACTAGAAGAAGAATGTGTTGTCAGAACCTTAAGTCATCTTGACAAGGATGTTGGAAATAACAAGTCAAATAAATTATGTTCTCAAAACATCTGGTCAAAACAGATGCTCCCTGAGTACAATGTTACACAAGATGTTGTGACATTGTGGTGTGACAATCTGAAAACAATCAACATTTCCTTGAATCCTATTGACTTTGAAGAGAAGAAGTCATTTAAACTGGAACATAGTTTCTCTAAGCTTCAGCTAACTGATTCTTTTACCAAGGCTCTTGTTGGAAATAAACTTGAAAATTTGAGGGACAGGTTGGGTGTTCACCAACATGAGAAATTATAGCAATTAATTTTGCTTAAAACAAGGGTTGAAGGGATTAATTTTATTAAGTCTATATTTAGTGGGTTAATCATATTCTTTCACAATTCCTTCAAAAGCCTTAAGAAGTTGAAGAGACTCCCTTTTATCCCCTACCTCTCAGTTCCTTGCAACCTGTCTCCTCCTCCAAATCAAAGATTTTTCTCAAACTGCTACCATTACTCAGAGTCAATCAAAATGTCTCAGACATCATCTTCAACCATGGCGACCTCGTCTTCCTCATCATCGTCATCATCTGACCAAGATTCTAGGGCAATCACTACATGC